GCTATTAGCTAGTATGTTGTAGGTATATCCATGTTAGTTGATAATATACAAAATTGATAATGTTTTGGTATAAATGCGTAAAAACCATCGTACAATAACCTTATATTATACCATAATAATATTTCTTTTTCTAATGTATAGGAAAACGTATTATTATACGCGTTGATATCGGTGACGGTGGCGACGGCCCGTGGCTGGTCTGCCACATATTATTATTCTTATAATAATTTATTATACTTGTATATATAATATACATATTATCAAATATCACATAATACGATTATATGAATATGAAATAAATATATGATTATACTGATTAAAAAAAATCAAATCCTTGCCATTTTTTTTCCTTGTAATTTCCTTACATTAAGTCATTACTCATTAAGAACACTATTTTATAAAATTTAAAAAAAGGCCTATGGGAGGATCTGACCCCCACATCCCCCCTTGTATACGCCCCTGGTTCAGTAGGTAGTCTTGTAAAGTATTCTAATACAAGTATTAGAATACTTGTATTTAAATACTTTTTGAAGAATTTATATGGTTTTCTAAATACAATTTTTTCAATGTATTTTTGAAGTATTTTGAATACTTTTTAAAAGTATTTTTAACAAAATTTAAATACTTGTATTAAAATACCATAAAGTCCATTTTATTAATTTTAATTTATAGTTTTCCACAAAAAATTGACATCAATAAAATAATATTGTTTTCGTTGAAAACTAATATTATAAGTTTTTATATAGTAAAAGTAGGTAATAACAATGTTTAAAATTAAAAAATACCACATCAAATATTATATGGTTTCTGTATTGGAACTTATTAAGAAAACTGAAAATCTAATAATTTTAAAATAGTGTTCCATATTAATAGTTAATACCACTTTTTATTTTATTTTTTTCGTTAAAATTTAATCAATATTAGTTGAAATATATCTAAATACAGAATGAAATATGTGAACATGTATTTATCTAGGTACCTATACTGATGTTCAATATGTATATATTATATACGAGTAGGTAGCATAAAATTAAAAAAAAAATATTTGTATTTGTATTCAAATACTTTGTGAGTATTCTTAAAATAATTTTTATAATAGTATTTTAAAAGTATTTTTAATACTTTTTTATTCGAATACTAGTATTAGTATCGTAATACTTTTTCAAAAGTATTTTTTACAAGACTGAGTCAGTAGGTTACAACTGGGTCACTGTATAATGGATAGTATTAAATTTGAATTCATGACATTTTTTTTTTTTGATAAAGGTAGATAATCTTATAAGGAATCTCGTATTACATTTTAAAACCTTAGATTTAAAAAGATTAAAAAGAAAAATTTTTACGAATTCTTAACTCAAAATAATTTGCTAATTTTCGTGATTTTTCTATATTTTGTCAATTTGTGAACTTTAAATGCTTATAAAAAAAATTGTGACTAAGGATTTTTAATATTTTTCATCTGCCTTTGAAACAATATACTAGGAGCCTTCTATTAAATTTTCAAGCTTTCGCAACCAATAAAAAAAAAATTTTATTGATATTTTTAGAAAAAAAACTAAAAAAAAATGGAAAATGAAAATGTGCCTAAACAGTTCAAAATAGATCAAAATATTTGGAAAATGTTATCGTGTATAGAAAATGCAAATATAAACAACCAGTGAAAATTTCATGTATATACGTTCATTTGTTTAAGAGTTACACCAAAAACCATAATCGATTTTTTGGAAAACCGATTTTGAGTAAAAATTCCTGTTTTTCCTTAATTTTTTTGTTGTTTTTCCCGGCTCTTGTGAAAACTACTAGGAAATTTTTACTTTTGACCCCCTCCTCCAAAGTACCAACTAGATTCACTTTCCTATCAGAAAAGCTACTGTTGAAGAAAATCCAAGCACTTTTACTGTCCTAAAACGTGATGACAGACACAAAAAAAAAAAAAAAACACACATTATTGTAAAATCAATCTATTCATCGTTTCACTCAGAATCTAAAATAATAAAAGATTCGAGAAGTAAAAAAGGCAAATAACAATTATTTGGAATAACAATTATTATTATAATAGGAAATTATTCTAATTTCCTATTCGATTTGATTAAAATAACAATCACCGTTCAGCCCAAACATCAATCCTCGGAAAAAATAAATATTGAATAAAAGTGCCATGAAGAGACTTGCCTATCTTTATATTATTCAATATTTTTATTAGCAAGTATTTCAAATGTATTTATTTCATTAATATTTTTGTTATATTTAGTACATTCTTTCTTTTAAATTCGTTAAAATTCCCTAAATACTACCTTCGCCTCTATTATATTCAACTCAGACCTGAATCTGGGAGAATCTCAAAGAATCTGGCAATATAAAGGTGGTGCCTGGGATTGCCTTTGATTAACATGAAAACACCACAGTCAAAATTAGTAGCTGGTGTTGTCTTCGTCTTACAAATGGACAACATTGCAATTTTGGGTTTGGCAGTTAATATTTTGTGATGTTATATTTAATATTAGAGTGAATCAAATCAATTTTTAAACTTAAAGTTAAGAAAATTATCTGGTGCCTCTCTTTGTTATTTTTAAGGAATTCATGAGCATTTTTAATTATTATGATTTGCACTCGTATATAGGTGTGCTTTCACGGGGAGGGGTGGGAGGGTAATGTTCCATGAAATAAAACAAAACTATAAAAATTGTGAGCACTCTAGTCTCTATAATAGTATGATGGTAATCGATTAGCAGATTTCTGATCAGTATGCAGGAGACGGGCGACAGTGCCAGCGTTAAGTTAGGTAACTTTATCAAGACATCTGATTTCCAGAATTAATTCCAGTATTCTAAGAATAGACTAATTTGGTGGCCGAGCTCCCGTGCATACTTTTGTGGTGCCGGGTGGGGGTGAGGCGGGTCATTCCAGTTAATATCAAATAATTTACTTGCAAAGCACTGTACGAGCTGTCCCCCACATATCTAGTAGAGCGGCTAAATACAATGTACCCCGCGGTCCGAGGAAGTATATTTGACTATCTTGACTGGCGTTTTGTGCATTCGCTGTTCACAATATTGTATATGTTTACGCCGCACACCCGTATACCACCTCCCATGCATTAACATAAGCAACACCGGCAACTGCCTCGTCGAGTGTCGCAGGATTAAACTCAAACTGCAAGGTTAGGTATTATAGCTTGTAAATTAAAACGTTACTGCGACAGTGCGACATGACTATGTGAGCCATTCTCCAGTTTCATACAAGTTGTATACAAAAAAAAATTAATATAAAATATAAATTTAGTTAAATATAGTTAATGAAATTATGAAAAACTATAAAGTAAAAATTAACTAAAAAATTGCGCCCTGGGCACTTGCCTTGGTGGCCTATATTTAAATCCACCCCTGCGTACAGCCATATCTCACTAAAATAACAGAACGTTTAGATCATTGTAATGTAAAATTACTAATTTAATAGTCAAACCACTAAAATATTTAAGCTGTCAACATAAAAATGGAACTATTGAACATGAATGTTGGTGTTTTGCATTAGTAAGACAGAACAACACAATATGAGGGTACAACATTCTCATATTTAATATAGTTTAATTAGTTATAATGAATTTATTATTAGCAGTAGATAATTATATTTAGGTACCAAATATTTTGAAGTTTGTTTTAATTTAAATACGTAATTAAATAAAAAGCATCACCTTATATTATAACAAGCTATATCAACCATAGACCTATAAGCTAATGTACAGAGCATTCCATTCCGCCCTGTGCCTCTGCCCTCAATAATATCACTATAATTTTCTATATGCATTATGCAACATTTTACTCCAATGGTCATAGTTATATGTAACATTTAAAAAAATAAAATTAGAATAAGTTTAGACGCTGTGCTGACAAAGTCTTATAAACTCGTAACATACCAAATTTATACTCATAAATTCATGTTTTATGCCATTAGCTTAAAAATTAAAGTGAATCGACCTATTATGAAACTTTATGGTAAGAACATTATCTGTGTTTTGTTGGACGTTTTTTTTACGATAATTCAGTTTTTAAGTGAGTTATGCGTGAATAATAAATGTAAATTAAAAATGCTCATAACTCACTTAAAAACTGAATAATGGTAAAAAATTTCCAAAAAAACACAGACAATGTTCTTACCATCAAAATTGATAATAGGTCGATTCACTCTAATTTTTAAACTAACGGCATACAACGTGAGTTTCTGAGCTTAAATTTGGTATGTTATGCGTTTGTAAGACGGAGGCAACACATGTGTCGTCCTCTTAATAAACAATCATTAATTTGAAACATTTTTTACAGCCGTACATGATAATGGATACAACCGTGTTTTAAATACGTATAGTATTATATAATATTTATTGCTATGATTTAATTTCATATTTTTCAAAAAATATAATAACTCATAATTATTGTATAATATATTATGATAATGGTCTATACAGATACTGTTATAAAAAAAAACATCAACGTTAGAGATTATAATTCCATCAGGCACGGTTCCATATGGTTCCATCAGTATAAAAAATGATTATAACTTACGTCCATGACAAATAAAATTAATAAAAAACATATTAATAAATGTTATTATAACACATTGACATTGTACCTAAATGTTAAAAAAATATGTGCTTATATACATGTGAGAACATTTCTCATGTGAATTTATTATATTCCCGACAAATTAAAATGTAAAGCACCTGTTAATTTTATTTATTATAAGCAAAAAAAATATTGAAAATCATTAATTCAAAAATTATATTTTATACTTGAAAATTACGTTTACATTTATATACTTATATAGTTTTATGAAATTAAGGGTTTGATAAATCTTCATCAAGGAAGGTAGAGCCAGTAAAACGACAAGACTACTGAATAGTGAATGGCCGAGAGAAGAAAGTGAAAGCAGAGTTTGGCAGATCTGAAAAATGTGGCAGTGGTAATGACGCCTTCAACTCGGAGCGAGCAATCCTAAAAAGTAATAACTTAAGCCGCTTGCAACTTCCTAAATTCACTTTGGTTGGCAACGCATGAGCTTGAATCACGATTTTGCTCGAAGAAGTAGATGTTAATCTTCGGCACACCTTTTATCTGGTCGATGTCAAAGATCACGATATTGGCCGAATAAGCAGAAACCCCAAACATCAGGACACTCCGGGTTCGGGCTGCACGAATTCGTGATCGAGATACTGATGCGGCAGTGAATTGACCTTTTTCTGCGAACCTCAAACACATTTCCAGGACTCCTCAAGGCGCCACAAAGTATTACCGCTTAGCCGACCAACCGGCGCCCTCACGTTTGTCGACAACCATTTCGTCGTCGAAAATGTTTTTTGTGCTTCTCATACTTGGCCATCAGTTTGGTCGCATTCACCTGGCCGATGGCTCACAGAGCGTACTGGTCCATTGGGCACCTCTCGAGCCCGTAACACTAGCACAACTCTTCGTCCACCTTACACCTTAACCAGGGCCTGGCTGATCATTTCCTTCGGCATGCAATTGCGAACACTCTCCAGCAAGCTTCACCATGCGCTGGCCACGCATCACGTACTTCACACTTTCGTTCAAAGCGATTCCATCCACCAAGTGCAGCAAGTCGCAACAGGTCACCGAAGCTGGGAAGTTTGTTTTTGACAACCTTTAAACACACAGCGAATAGTTTTCCACTCAAATAATAGATAGCACACCGTGAGGTTTCCCGCGAAAAACATCGTGACTCTTTCACAAACATAGCGAAATGTTTTTTGAAGAAGTAAACGGAAAAATATATTAAATAATTAAGATATACTTTTAATAATTGGTACTTTCGTTGTGATTACTTTATTTTTTGTACTAACACAAACAGTTGTTTACAGAATTTTTATACAGATGATCAATACAAGGAAAAATTAATAAGAAATCAGGTAGCCATTTAGATATAAAAAAAATATTGTTAAACAGTACTGGATAAACAAGTATAGCAGTCTTGTAAAGTATTTGAGTAAAGGTATTTGAGTAAATGTATTTAAATACTTTTATTGTATTTAGAATACTTTTTGAATAAAATATTTGGAAAGTATTTTAAATACGGTTTTGGACGTATTTGTATTTGAAAATCAAATACTTTTATTTAAATACTTTATCGATTTTTTTTCAATAATAAATGAATATTTATTATCTTTTTTCTCAGAAATCAAAGTAATATCATGACTAAATAATAATATAGTCATGAGTAATATCATTGAAATTTAGTAAGTTTATTCCCGACATAGCCTCCTAAAATGCAAAATATTATTGTTTTTTTTTTCATTGAAGCCTATATTAGTTTATTGTGATGTGAATTATTTGAAACTCCAAACTATAAACATAGAACAATAATGAAGCGAAACTCGATCAGTTGATTCGGTTTACGACTTTACGTTTACCTATGATCTTATTTTTTTTCCTGTTGAATAATTGAAGAGTATACATACGTAATATATACATTAATACAAATATTTTCACTACAGAAATATAGCATTTATATATAAATTATTTTCTCCAGAAGCTAGGTTTGTTGTGGAGATAAAGGTTCTTATAATATCTATTTAGTTCTCATACAATAAATAATTAAAACGATCATTAGGTGATTATTAACTTATCATACAATTGTAGGTACCTTGGTTAGTACCAGAATATGGAACATGCATAATGCATTATAATATATGAACTATTAAGTATTAACTATACAGGGTGATATTTTTATCATTGAACACTCATTATTTCAAAAAGTATTAATGTTTAAGAAAATATTTTTTTACATAGTTTCAAGTTGTTAAAAAACAATATTTTTATTAAAAAATTATATTTTTAAATATTTTTTATCCTTTTAATTTTTTAAGTTTTTTACTTTTTTGAATGACAACATGTAATTTTAATTTGATATTCAAAAACGGAATATTTTTCTGAGTATTTCGATACATAAAAATTGAATTTGAATTTAGGGCAATTAGTTTATGAGTTATAAGTATTTAAAGTTTAGATGAGCGGAGTAGTGGACAAACATTTCGCGGGGTAACCCCGTACCACTCTACTCCGCTCATCTAAACTTTAAATACTTATAACTCATAAACTAATTGCCCTAAATTCAATTTTTATGTATCGAAATACTCAGAAAAATATTCTGTTTTTGAATATCAAATTAAAATTACATGTTGTCATTCAAAAAAGTAAAAAACTTAAAAAATTAAAAGGATAAAAAATATTTAAAAATATAATTTTTTAATAAAAATATTGTTTTTTAACAACTTAAAACTATGTAAAAAAATATTTTCTTAAACATTAATACTTTTTGAAATAATGAGTGTTCAATGATAAAAGAATCACCCTGTATAATAATAAATTAATATATACAGTTTGAATGAGTTTGATCTCATGGTCAAATTTAAAGTTAAAATATCAGAGAAAAAGTATTGAACCCAAAGCTAAAACTTAAAACAAATGTATTAAAATAAGTATTTGTGTTTAAATACTTTCTAAGTATTTGTATTTGTTCTTAAATACTTATTGAAAAAAGTACTTTAAATACTATTTAAATACTTTTTAAGTTGATGTATTTGTATCTCTATTTAAATACAAATGAAAAGTATCTTTTTACAAGATTGAAGTATAGAATGTAAAAAAAAGCAGATAAAACAACAAAGATTGCAAAAAACAGAACATTTATTCCACAACTTTAAACCTCACTTTAAAGAATTTAAAAAATCAAATATCAAACCCACTAGTCGAACATGTAACGGAGTACGACATAAACGGTCCTTTTCAGGATCACTAACAACCAATAAACACACTCAACAAATATAAGACGCAGTTACTAATAGCAGGTTTTACAATAATATGACGAGGAAAAACCAGACCAAGCTAAAGACAACCATCAGGAAACGGTGCGATGATTACTCGTAAACCCAACAACTTACAACCAAACAGCAACTAAATATCCAAATATGAATATATACCAGTAAATTTCCGAAACTGTGTAGTTCAGCGATCAGTGCACATGTCCGTCGCTTCAACGCTCCTCCGCCACGAAGTTCACCGCATACTGATTCATCGATCTCCAGCTACTACACGCACCTAAGAAAGTAGACAAATTTTTCTAATCGTCCCCCCACTCTCGACCTCGAGGCAAGTGCACCCAAGAGGTGATTCAGCCGTTTATCGCTTCGGAGTGAAGGTGAAACTACAGCACACCGAACATCGGTCAGCGTCGCTACTCCTCCACTGCTCGTCTTGAAGAAAAACCGTACCTCTCCTCTGCCTAAAACAAACTCCGTCTCATCTGCTTCAGCTTGCTCTCAAGACAGCTAGAGTAGCAGTGAAACTCAGGCCTCGCGATGCCCCTCATCGGGACTGTCCAAAAACAACACACCTGCACAAAATCAACCATCATCATCTGCAACTACCAATTCTGTCGACCCCGTCTCCAATATCAACCAACTCCCTCAAAAAGTTCCACCTATTTTCCTTCCAGGCCTCGCCTGGCGCAAAGTGGCTCCTAAACTTATGTCCGCAGTTCCAGCCGACGGCATACTAACCAAGGTCTGTGACCACAACTCCATTAAACTACAATGTGTCGACATCGATCTCTTCATTATTGTTCAAATATACTTACACAAAAACAATATAGATTTTCATACTGTCCCGTCCCCTACAGAAAGGAAAATCAAAATTGTCATCCGTGGGCTCCTTCCACCAAGAAGGTCCATCACTGAACTTGAGGGGTCGGACGAACTGAAAAGTAAAAGCTACGATGTAACCACCGTACGCCAATTTGGGAATGCCTCTCAAAAATGTCCTCTTCATTTGGTCATTCTTGCCACTACCCCTTCCAGCAAACAAATTTATAGCTAACCTCTCTCTTCTTAATGGCCATAAAAATCAAAGCCTTCAAATCCAACAACCCTGCACAATGCTTCTCCTGATAACGTTTCGGCCACTCCAACCTTTACTGTGGCTACGCTAAAAGAGGCATCAAATGCGCTGGAGGCCTTATAGCCAAAGATTGTCCCAAGCACAGAGAAGAACCACGTAAGTGTACTAACTACTGTAGTACCCACACCACCAACTAAAAAAGTTGTCCTTCCCTGACTCAAGAGAAGGACAAAAGATGACCTGTCAGACCTAACACTACCACAACTGCTGATCAAACCTTCCCTCCTAGTAACCTACCCGTTGCTCCCACAATCCAGTCAACATCTCTCCAGACTCTTCCGACCAACTCCATCATATATGCTCCCAAAACATCGAACAACTGACAACCCAAGGCTATCGTCCCTGACTCAATAGTAGCTGAGCTCACTACTTTCATCACAAATCTCGCATCAAATAATATGAAGGTAAAATATGCCCTCATTTCCTTCCTGACCATTCTACCACTTCTTCTTAACCTCCAAAATGAGTAATACTCGCATCCTATTTAGAAACTGTCAAGGCATCACTCGGAGACGCCTTGAACTCATTGACTTCATCCATCAACAAAATATTGACATCCTGCTGCTCAACAATACTCATCTCACTGGTCAACATTCTATCAACATCTACAACTACTTCACTTATACATAAAATCGTCCTCAAGTCCCCGGCAACTCAGCTGGAGTTGGAACAGTAATTCTCCTTCACAGATGGTATACTCATCAACATGTTGCCATATCATCTACATTCCTAGAAAACACCACTGTTCACATTCAAGTCAACAATAGGGTTCTTCGTCTTGTAGCTACCTACAAAAGACCAGCCAATATCCTTCTACCAGCCGATCTCCCTGCCCTTTTGGACACTCCTTTCAACACCATTGTAGTAGGTGACCTCAACAGCAAGCACCAGCTTTGGCTCAGCCGCAGGCCCAACGCGGCTGGCAACGTTGTCGTTCCGGCACTTCATCAACTCCAGAAACGATCTTGCGGTAGCTGATCCAGTCACCCCGACGCACAATCAGAAAAACTCCTATCACAGTCCAGATATACTAGATATCGCTATTGTAAAAATCAACAACATCCTCTATCACTTTGAAAATTTATCTTCAGACCTCTCTTCCGACCACACTCTAGGTGTTCTTGAACTCCATTCTACTACGGCATCTATAAATCCTCCAGAACCCACACACGCAGTCAACTGGGCTGCTTTCCAGTCATTTATGGACTCTGTCAGTCACTCTTCGTCTAGCGGCTCCAGTACCAGTTCCATTGAGTTAGTCCTCAACACACATGTCAAACGGTGTC